CTGTCCATGTATTGCTTGCAATAATGACGGAAAAGACTTGTGAACACTTAAGGTCTTTCAAACAGGCCTATGTGAGGGGATGGTGCTCTCCAGCACGTGTGTGTGTGTGTGTGTGTGTGTGTGTGTGAGAGAGACACACAGAGAGAGAAACAGAGAGACAAAGAGCAGGGAGGGAACGAAAGAGGGTGAAGAAGGCTAAGACCTGGCAGAGACATCAGCCAACAAAAATAAAAATGGAAGTACCTATAAAGCACTAAGTTCTTCACAGTGTTTTTTATCCTTTGGTCCTTTGAGTGATTAAAACAAACAATGCAATTATCAGCTGGACTGGGGGAAGGGTTTATGGAGCTTACTACCATCCTGGCTTTGAGCAAATCCCTATCTCAAGTCCTGTTTGTTTCTTTGTTTTTTTTTTCATTGAAAATGTGCGTGCTACTTAAACTCACAGGGTTATTGGAAAGAGTGAAGATAATAAACAGAGTGGTCATATGGCCTCCTTTGCTGAGGGCAGTCCCAGTTTGTGCCCAGTGTCTCAGCATAATTATTAACTTTCACTCTCAAAAGTGTCACAGTTTGGAAAAACAATTTTGTCATTGCCCTCTATATAAATCATGGAGCATAGTACTTGATACAGAGTGGAAGTTATTGTTATTCAAGAACTGTCCACACATTTGAATGGGGAAAAAAAACCTCTCTGATTTGTCTTAATCATAAGCCCAGGGATAGATCCTTTCTATTTAGAGAGCATGGATGTTGGTTTGGGGTTTTATTTCTCCTTAGAGTTGTAAACTGCTTTAGCAGAAGTGACCCCATGGCCTTAGAGAGGGTGTGGACGGGACACTGGAGTAAGTCTCCTTCTAATTGCCTGGAGCAGTGCTGGTACTTCCTCTATTTAAAGAACCCAATTAAATATGCCTGTACTTGATCTATACCCCTTTGCTGGATTTAGGCAACTCAGTTAACCTTCTTAGTTTTCCACTTCTTTCAACCAAGTCTATATAGAGGTTAAAACTAAAATTAATTTTGAGATTTTTCTTAAGCCTTTCTCACAGTGTCCTTCAGGTACACTTGCGACATAAATGGGCATCAATAAACCCTGCTCTGCAGAGAATCTGAGATGTTTTCCATCCTCACTTGCACATGACTTTTCTCTTTGGCCCCAGAGCTAACCCCATACTAACCAGCATTTCTGTGTTGAACAGATCCTGTCCTTATCACTACAACTTAACTCACTACAACATACCTGAAAAATGCTGAATCTGATGCTCCTAATTGATGCAAGACTTTTCTAGAGCAACATCAGACATTTCACAATGCACACCAACCCCTTCCTACTGCAGAGAGATTGTTCGGTTCCCCAGAGCAGTTCATTTGTCAACGAAATTCTAAACACGTGAAAGAGTTAAAGGGCATTCAAAAGTTTCCCTCAATGGTGTATAGCAAGATTTGCCATATGTTATAGGAAGGATTCACACTGCCCTGAAAAGAGCAAGGTGTTGAACAGATTCTGAATGTACCTTCATTCACTGGGCCCTGTGTGTTCATCAGGCATCCTGGGGTGGACAGAGACACAAGGAAGCCCTTTAGAGATTTCAGATTAGTGTGGGGGCTCACACACCAGCTCTATGAAGTGGTGTACAGCAAGCCCTTCTTTCCTGGGAAATAGCTTGAACTATCCACTCTAAACTTGTTCTACAGCAAACCTAAGAGGCCAACATGAGTTTCTGCCACTAAGAAAATTCCCAGACCAACTCCCATGCTGCTACAAAGGATGCGCTTAGGGTAAGTAGGGATATTCTAATAGTAAGTGAGGTGGAAAGTTAAAGTAGTCGAGGCGTAAAGTTAAAAAGTAAATCTGGGAGAAAAAAAAACCAGCCCAAAATAACCAACTAATTTTGACATTTATTCATGTAGTTCTCTTCTCTAGAGTGTAGCAAGTGTTGATTACTCATAAAATAACCCACTTTGGATGCCAAGGCTAAGGGAAGCCATGGTCTACGTCCGATTTGAAGTGGATTTAGAAGGGAGGAGAGCATTAGAATACATGAATATTATTTTAATGTTTATTGGGCATTTACAATGTGCTAGGTATTGTGCTAAGTGCTTTATATCTTAATACCTCATTTACTCCTATGAGGTACCCATTATTTTGGCCTACATTTTACAGATGAGGAAACTGAGAGAGTGATTACTTAACTGTCCGAAGCCATGCAAGTGCAGGAGCAAGAGATCTGAACCAAGCCCATTTGGCCTTGCCATTTTTACATTCTAGGTAAGTGTGGCCTTATTAGGAGACTGACGGGTGTACAGGCATCCAAGGGGATAGGAAAGCCTCAACATTCAGGTCTACATAGGACATGTTATTTCCAGACATCAAGGCCATTTTAATTCCCACCTCCATTCAAATGAAAGGGCAGCCTGACAGAGTACACGTGCCAATGAAGAGGAGACTACCAGAATGAACATCGAATGAAAGCTAGTACATCTCACTAGCCAGTGACTGATTTGTGTATTGGCTTGTGAGTTCTTTGGAGGGGACTAATACATACATAATTACATTTTCCCCACAATGTGCCATTAAAAAAAATATGGAAACCTTTACCTGGAAACGCTTATGGAATTACCTTTCTTCTAACACCTTGCAAAATAGCCATCCATAGTTATAGAGTTTGTTTTATTGCTTTTTAATTGCTGCACTTTTGTAAATAAGCACCACCATATAATTAAGGGGCTGAGACTTCATTCAGGTATGTGGGCGGACATCCTCGCCTCTCAAACTTTTGAGGCCGGGCATGCGCATGCCGGTGCGTGCAGGTGCAATTAGCCGCTTGCCCCATGGTGCATCCTCTCAGCCAAGGTTACACTATGCTGAGCCTTAGGGCTTCTGTTTCTACTCTGTCTTCTACACAGACAAATTCCTTTCTCTCTTTGCTGCTCAAAATATGTAAAACTTAGCAAGGAGAACTATGCTAGGTTGTAAGCAGGTTAGTGTTGTAACAAGCTTAAAGAAGATAAACAAAGTATATTTCCTCTTCCTCTTTTAAGAAAGGACTGAAAAACATTCTCCCCCTCAAAAGAATGCTGCAAAGCCACCAACTTCACTACTCTGAAATAAAAAAATTAATACAGTGGGCAGGGACTGTGTCTTATTCACCTCATGTAGCCCCACAGCCTGGCACATAGTAGGTATTCCATAAATATTTGCTGAATGAATTGGAAGAATTCAAAATTGTATCACAGATATTCTCAAAGTAGAAATGAACAGTCATTTTGAATCATTTCCTGATGTATGTATGTGGGGACAGGAGTTTAGGAAGGGTGTAGAGAACATATACTTTATCTAGAGTGATTTGAAAATAGACAAGGGGAGAGAGATTTTTAAAAGAAATCCCATTGGCCTCAGTATTGTCACAACATAATTTTCTATTTAATGGGGCAATGACAAAAATGGATGGAAGAAAATAGTCTGGTCTTGGAATAATCAAATGTTTAAAAACCACATACTGATGTCAAACTCAAAAGTGAGTTTTTTCAGATACTGGAAAACTGTTCCATGAAGAACACTGCATGTCAAATTCTTTTCATTAATCAAAGAGCAGCTAGACAAAGGAAGATTCATCCTTGAGTGTAAAGGATTATACAAATAATGAATCCAAGTTAAATGATTTATAGCTATGACAAATAAAGAATGGTGTTTAGGCAACAGTATTACTCCCAAATGGCTTCCCACTTGTAGAAAAACAGCTTCAGACAAGCCCCATAGTGTATACAGTGGAGCAAAATGACCTGGAAAAAATGGTTTCTATGGATATCATTTAGAGATGCACATCCCTGAATACCTTAAGGCTGAAGGTACTTTAAGCTCTCTTCCTCAAAGCAATTACAGCACCGGTTCTCCTGCCCAGGTTTTGTTTACATAAGAACAATCTTGGCCACCGGTCATTTGTGTAGGAGACAATTAATCACTAGCTCTTTGAGCACAGGTAGGTTAATCAGTATGCACATAACACAATATTAAAATTTTCATGGGAAAAATTTTTTATTTAAAACAATAAAGGATCAGTAATACCTGCTGGTCTTTTATCCAAAGCAACTACAAAGGCTGTTAGTGAAATAGAGAAGACTTTGTTTTTAAAATGTTCGGAAAATACAAGGCATCATTGATCACCTGAAGGCCTCATTTTAATTTGATTCCAGATCCACGACGGCTTAGAGGCTGTCTTTTTGAAACAGCGTATTGCTAAAATCCTTATGTAGGTCAGAAATGGAACTTCAGAAGCCATCATATTCTGCTATCCTAATAAATAATTAGGGTCAAAACCTCACTTGTTTATGTTTCAAAAAAGTACATTATTTGGACTACAGCAAACATTGGGATTTTAAAAAATTCGAATATTAAATGGCATTCAGAACATCATCCACATGGACGAGGGAGAGATCAAATAAATCTGCAGATGCCTCTATATACAAAAAGGATGTCTTAGGTTTTGGACTATTAAGTACTTTTCCTTCTTCAGACAATACCCTAAAAAAGCAATTACAAAGTACTCTGAAACCCTGCCACACCCCTTTGATTAAATCACACTTCACAAAATATTTAGAGAAAGCATGAACAAATCAAATAAACATCAAGGCAGGAAATGCAGCCAGGAATGCCTGATCCTGAGCTCCCCCAGAGTCTGAAGGGCTGCCTCACTTGAAAATTTAATCAAACACAATCTACTGTAATTCCATTGCAGCCTTTGCACTTAAGGAAAGCTAGTTCAGTCTCTGACATTTTGATTTTCACAGCAGATGGAAGCAAAAAAAGAAAGAAAGAAAGAAAGAAAGAAAGAAAGAAAGAAAGAGAGAGAGAAAGAAAGAAAAGAAAAGAAAAGAAAAGAAAAAAAGAAAAACTTCCGCGGCTCACAAACATATGTGTCCAGTTGAGATTTTCTTTCTCCAGCCTTATGCAACATCCAGCAAACAAACAAACAAAAAGGTTATTTTCTAGTACTCACTATTACTCCAGGATTTCAGTAAATATTTGATACTGATCTCAAAGAAGCCCGAATCCTGCTGGCTGGCCATGTCTGCGGCATACAAAGAGGCTGGGAGGACGGGCAGCTGCCGGGAGCAGGTACCGGGCGTGATGCGCCTGTCACAGGTTGTGATGTCAGCGCGGGGTCAGGCGCCGAGAGGCAGCTCTGCGGATTCACCTCCGGCTCCGGCCGGGAGTCCTCATCTAAAGGACACCGCCGAGCAGAGAGAGAGATGCTCGGCCGCTCCTCCTCCTCCGGGTCCAGGACTTGCTTCTTATTTGCTGGGCGCTGATCTCCCTGCAGCCCTCGGAGGCGGCGGCCGCGCTGCTTTCATTTCGGGGCTGTCATCACCAGCAACGCCGGCTGCCGGCCGCCCACCAGCTCGGCTCCAGTCAGGTATGGAACCGAGGAAGACCCCACCTGAACTGGGATCGGCTTTCTCCTGGGAGGGAGGGTTTCTAGGCCGGCCTCCCTGACGCGATGCAGGCAGCCTCCGGCCCGCACGGCCGCCGCGGGGCTGAGGGATGGGCCAGGAGCGCCGCCCCCTGCCCCTGCCCCCTGTCTCAACCTGAGTCTCGGCTCAGCCTCCGCCTAGGCTGCCAGAGGAATTTTCCCAGCTTCGGTGGATCCTCTCTCCTCAGCAAGGTTTCCCGTGAGCGAAGCGGCCCGGGTGTGCTCTGGCTGCTGCTTCCCCTTGTGTCTGTCCCTGAAATAAACACAACTGCAGCACGCTGCGGTAAGCAAAGCTGCAGCCCTGCATCTGGTTGCAGCGACGGTTTGGAACACCCCATCCGTCAGCCTCGTTGCAGTAAGGAGGCTCAACAAGAGGACGCTTGTCTGGGCCTTTTCTTCCCTGCCTTCCACACGCATGGTGGAATCTGCATTTTGTACTTTTCCCTCCCAGAAATGCAGTGTTTTCAAGGGGCACCGGAGCCCGAACGTGTGCACTCTAAGGGAACAGTACAAACTGCTTAGTTGGCTTGATTTTGTAATGTCACACATTCCACAATGAATCTTATGCTCAAACCTCTCATTTCTAAGACTCACCAAGCCCAGTGAAGCTTATTTTATTTTATTTGTATGAAAAGGACAAGAAGCAAAGCATTGGATTCCTTGCTCTACCATGGCGTTTGATTTCACGAATTCTTGCTATCAGGTGTCCTGATATTGGTTAGCTTTGTTTCACATTATCATTTAGCTTGACCAGGGGATTAAATCAGAGTACTGTATTTTAATAAGGACAGGTTATGTTGGAGGAGGTGGGATTTGGCCAACTATCTCATAAACCACAGGATCCTTCCCAAGTCCCAGTACATTCATGATTAATGTTTTCTAAAAAACAACAAAAAAGTAATAAACCATGTTAATAAGTATTTAACACAGCAATGTTGGGCAAACTCCCCAAATCAACACACAAACAGGACTTCCTAGATTAACAGTTCATTTTAGAAATGGAAGGGAAAGACTGCAATGTACTTTTATTTTTGTCTTAAAAATATTTTAAAAATTCAACACTAAATAAAACTTTTAGAACTATGTCCTGAAAGGCCCTAAGATACTTTATCAATTTAATTAGTTTTTCAAACTCATTACACTTACCCAAATGGCAAGCACTCAATCACTCAGATTTCCAGCTCCACTTATGCACTCTATTCTGATGAAATTTCTCATCAGACTGACTTCTTTTTAATTCATGTGCATACTCGAGTTGCTGAGCTGATTTTATCACTTGTACTTTGAATGTATGGATTCTAGGTAAAATAGACCCAAAGGTTTTACCTTGAAACAATTATTATATCTGAAAATAAATTTCATACCTACGCCCATCTGATGTGGTGCTTCCTCAAGACTCAGATGGCAATGAATGAACAGGTAGGCTACACAGTACCCTGAGATTAATGATGGCAGGGGCTCTCAAGGCAGGGCGCCATGTTGGCTCCTGGCACCAGTGCTCACTAGCTTTGAGCCCCAAAATAAGCTACTAACTTTGCTAAGCCTTCATTTCCTCATCTGTAAAATGGGGTTGCACTTTCTTCCTACAGTTGCTGGAAACAATAAATAGCACTATATACGAAACGGGCTCAGCATAGTATCTTGCCCATAGTTAACACTTCATTACATTTTAGCTACATTGGTTTTTTTTTTTTTTTTCTTTTTCTATGAGACAGTCTCACTCTGTCGCCCAGGCTGGAATGCAGTGGTGCAATCTCGGTTCACTGCAACCTCTGCCTCCCGGGTTCAAGCGATTCTCCTGCCTCAGCCTTCCAAGTAGCTGGGGTGACAAGCATGCACCACCATGCCTGGCTAATTTTTGTATTTTTAGTAGAGATGGGGTTTCACAGTGTTGGCCAGAGTGGTCTTGAACTCCTGACCTCAGGTGATCCGCCTGCCTTGGTCTCCCAATGTACAGACATGAGCCACTGAGCCCGGCCCATTCATTCTTACTATGAATCCTTGGTGACTCTAGAATAGAACTTTTTTTTTTTTAAAAAAAGCTAAATACCTTTTTTTCTTTACTCTTTATGCGGTTTAAAAGATATATTACTTTTGAACACCAGTGGTAACTATTTGGGGGGAGCAAGTTGGAGACATTTAAAATCAGTTGCAATAAGCAAACATGCTATTGTATATTGCTATTCAAATATATAGAGATTCTCTCTGTTGACTTTATTTTCTAAAAAATTTAACTGGCTTTTTAAAGTTTTCAATACTTAAATATATAAGTTTTCAGTATTTAACTACTACAAACATACTAACTTGCTGAGAATGCCACTCATATGTATTTCAAGGGAAACTATCATAAAAATGTAAATGCTACTTAGAAAATAATGTTTTCAATGGCATCTAGCTTTCACTGTGAAGAGTGAATCAGCAACCAAGAGCCCAGTTTCTGTCTCTTAGAACCTGAAATCTTGTCCAGTGTATGCTTTTTTTTCATTTGAGTACCTTTAAAGAGGGCATATACTGTAAAAGAACAGAAAAGGGCTTTTGTTTTGTTGAAAGGCCTGCAAATCAAATAGAATGACACCTGCTGCAAGCTGAGTTGAAACATTTATCCTTCTGTCTCCTCTCTCTCTGGGGGGCTTAAAAAAAGTAGTCAGAAGAGGCACCTGGACAGAGGTACTTTAAAATACAACAGTAAAATCTGAATGTGTCCCTGGCTTGCTAATGACTTCAGTTATGATTTAAGAGGACCTAAAGCTATCTCAGCTTTCATACCTGTAAAAAGAGGGATCCTTCCTTAAAAATTTTAGGAGAACATACAATGAATTGTCAAGCATGGAATAAGGCATAGATATTGGGGGCTGAGTGAAAGATAACAGTAATACAGGAAAAATGGAAGGCCTCAGAAAATGGTATCAAAGAGTAGGAAAAAGGTCAGGCGCGGTGGCTCATGCCTGTAATCCCAGCACTGTAGGAGGCCGAGGCGGGCGGATCATGAGGTCAGGAGATCAAAACCATCCTGGCTAACACAGTGAAACCCCGTCTCTACTAAAAATACGAAAAAACTAGCCGGGCGAGGTGGCGGGAGCCTGTAGTCCCAGCTACTCTGGAGGCTGAGGCAGGAGAATGGCGTGAACCCAGGAGGCAGAGCTTGCAGTGAGCTGAGATCGCGCCACTGCACTCCAGCTTGGGCGACAAAGCGATACTCCATCTCAAAAAAAAAAAAGAGTGGGAAAAAGTCGGAAAGTGGCCTGACACAAGTGATGACACTAAATGAATGACACCATCTACATCTGTTGAATATAAATAGTGTACTTAAAAATACATGTATTTTTATATTTAATCCTCACCTCAAACCTATGAAGTAAATACTGTTATTAGCCCCATTTTACAGATGAGAAAATTGAGGCTTAAGGAGGCATAAAATAAGGTCAAACTCATATGGTTGGTAAAATTTAGGTCTATTTTAGACCCTGAGACATTTATCATAACTTTGTTATTTTTTTTTTTAATCACAAGCAAGGTGAGAATCATGCTTACCAAGTTCTTCAGAGAAAGTTCAGGAAGAAGCTGGGCACAGTGGCTCATGCCTGTAATCCCAACACTTTGTAAGGTCAAGGCGGGTGGATCACTTGAGGTCAGGAGTTCAGGACCAGCCTGACCAAAATGGCGAAATGCTGTCTCTACTAAAAATACAAAAATTAGCTTGGCGTGGTGGCACCCGCCTGTAATCCCAGCTACCCGGGAGGCTGAGGCAGGAGAATCACTTGAACCTGGGAGGTGGAGGTTGCAGTGAGCCTAGATTGCGCCACTATACTCCAGCCTGGGCAACAGAGCAAGACTCCATCTCAAAAAAAAAAAAAAAAAGTTCAGGAAGAGATGCTAAGGTACTCCTTAACATAGCAGAGGTGCTTCAGGTCCCATTGACTCTCCCAGCCTAGTCACTGCCTTCCTGCCTGGCTTTAGCCTGGCTGATGCATTCCCTGGGGGCTGTAGCCGATTCCGAGAAACCGAGAGAAGAATGCCTTTATTTTTCACATTAATTTGATTCATTAGACAGGCTGTGATCTCTACAAGGATGCCTGACCTAGAGTGGAGGTGGGGTGATTGACGATGAAAATCTAGTCTGAACTCCACTCTCCAATTTGGCAGGCACAGAGGTGGCAATGGGCTGCTTCTACCCTGGCATGGGTCTGCATCATCCCAGGGCTCAATCCAGAGGAAGGGGTGCCTATTTTTTTCCATCAAGATACCACATGGGCTGGTGGTAGCCCTGGGTATCTTGGGTACCCAGGGGTACCCAAGTGGGAAGGAGGTAGGTGGTCAGAAGAAAGAAGTGACCCATTGGTCACCTATGTACCTATGTCCTAGTAAGCCATGTGTAGCAGAGTGGGATGAGAGTGGAAAAGGATACAGGGATTATATCTCACAATCTATAGCATTTACTCTCCTCCTGCCTTGATCCTGATTATAACCATCTGTCCTGTCTCTTCCTCCAGTAGACCTGTGTCTTACTCAGCTTTGTGTTCCCTACATTTCCATAGCACACAGTAAGTCCTCATGCAATAAACATATGTTGAGCGAATAAGTGAATGAGCGAGCTTGTCATGCCTGCCTGTTATCTGCTGCCTGTGGGGAAAAAAAAATGTATAAGAAATGCAATTTTTTTTGTTTTAATTCATACTTAATTTACTTTTCTTAAAAGCATTTTAGACAATTTTTTGAGGCTAAGTTGTGTGGTATTCAAAAAAAATGTGAAAACAAAGCTTTGCAAACAGTCTGGATGCATGCCAACATCAAGAGCCATTACCTAATGATTTTAAACCATCTGATGGAGTTGATTGGGTTAGGATTGGAATCCACCCCCTTTCCTTGTAGACGGATGCACGTGGGTACACATGTGTAATTACTGTCACAGAGTGACATGTACATTCATGAACAGAATATGTTAGGCAGAAAAGAAATGCTTCACTAGCATCCTGAGGAAACAAAGGAAATCACTAAATGCAAGAAAATAATTGCTTTATCAATTTTTGATCAGCAGTCTCAACTTCCAAAAAAGCATGAACTACATTATATTCCCTCTATTATACATTGTATCTTAAGAACAGTTCCAAATCAAATTAAGCATCCCCTGAATTGAGATACAAAGACAACAGTTAAAATCGATGGTGACAAGTATGGAAAAAGGGTTTTGTTTTTCTTTAAACAGTAGAATAAGAGGCCTTTTAGAGATAATCTAAAGGACAAAGTGTTGAGATAAATAACAAACTTCTCTTTTGACCTATTTTTGATGCACAATTTGGACAGATCTATCCTATCCTAAGAAATATTAGAGAAAAAATATGAAATGATGCCACACAATGTCCATGTGGTAAGCATCAAACACAATAATCACTCCCTTAAAAAAATCCAACCCACATATATAAATCTTCACAAAAATAGATGCAGCAAGTTTTGAAAAACATTTACTCCATGACTATCCACTGCAATTTTTTTTCAATGAATTGAAATACATTTAAATGTTTTGAATGCAATAGAACTTCATTATAGCAAAGCTTGTTGTTGTCCAGATTCAAACATAAACAAGAAAAATCATGTCTTCCAAAATTGTTTTCATTGAAACATAGCAGCAGAACTCATTTTTTCTTCCCTACTCAGCTCCCCTGCGAAGGGGTTTTATAAGGAACCCAGAGCCAAGACAAAGCAATAGGAAGTCTAGCACAATGGGAAGCCCCTGAAGGGTTTAAGCAGAAGACAATAAAAGACCTTGAGAAGCGGCAGCAGGGAGTGGAGGAGAGAAAGCCTGGAATTTACCCTGCTTTCTGCTCTGCACATGGAAGGCCCCCTCCATACGTCCATTGTCACCCAAGGTGTTTTGATACGTCTAGAGCGGGGTAAAAGAATGGTATTTATTGAGGCCTAATATTGGGGCCTGGGGCTGGGCTATATATCAGAGGGCATGCACAGACAAAGCTGAACAAAGGGGCACACCGACTGGGCACCTGCTGGGCACTTCTCTAAAACTGGCGCTGAGACATCATTAGAATGAATTAGAACTAGGGCACCAGTTAACCCGGGCCTGCACACTAGTGAAAGGAAAACTGAGCCTCTCCGCTGACACTGCCTCGGACAACTGAATGGTGACTTCAAGAACAAATATTCCGGCCAGGTGCGGTGGCTCACAGCTGTAATCCCAGCACTTTCAGAGGCTGAGGTGGGCAGGAGTTTGAGACTAGCCTGGCCAACATAGTGAAACCCTGTCTCTACTAAAAATACAAAAATTAGCTGGGCATGGTGGCGGGCGCCCGTAATCCCAGCTACTCAGGAGGCTGAGGCAGGAGAATCGCTTGAACCCAGGAGGCAGAGGTTGCTGAGATCATGCCATTGCATTTCAGCCTGGACAACAAGAGTGTAACTCTGTCTCAACAACAACAACAACAACAACAACAAAAAATAATCAAAGGATATTAATTAGAAGGGAAGTGACATTGTAGACCAGACCATGCTCTATCATATAGAAGCTGTACTGCTGGCAAAGTTGTTGAGCATCTCATTTTCCTCGTCTGTAAACTAGTGCCTTGTCACACAAATCTATTATGAGGATTACATGAGTGCCTAGGCAGATGATAACTGTTATGTAGCAAATCTGTAGCGAGAAATGAACCCAGAATATGCAGCGCAAAATTCCTCCTTAACTCCAC